TTCAGCCTTTTGGCTCCGGCTCCCCCACTTTGGCTCCACTGGGGCTGGGAGAGGAGGAAAAGGGGGGTTCTGGACCCCACCCTGGGGCCGGGCTGGAGACGCACTTTCACTTTTACTGCCTTTTAACAAGCTTGTGTTCCTCTGAGCTTCGTGTTTAATAAAGGTTTCTACTGGCTCGGGGCTCTGGTGTGGGGCTGCACTTGGGTGGCTGTGGGTGGTGGGGACCCCAACCTAAGAAACCCAGGGGTTTGGGGTTACTTTTGTGGGGTTTTTTTTCCTTTCTTTTCCTGGAGGCAGCTGTCAGCACCAGTTCACAGCCCAAAGTTCAAGGTCCCCCTGTCCCAGCTCACTGGGGACAATCTGGCTGCAAGCAGCAGATTCTGGATGCACCCCTACCCATTCTGCAGGGCACCATCCCCTTCCTGGTGAGCAAGGGACATTGGGGACCCCCCAGCAGCCTGGAGCAGACAGGGACGTGCCACTTCCTTCCCGTCTTTGCACGCTCGCTCCCCTTCTCTTTCTGCCTGGTTCTCCTTTACGCAGCCTTGATAAATATTTCACCCTGGCTTGCGTTGTGTAAGCTCACCCCGCTCCCGCTGCAGGGAATGGGAGCCCAGGCAGGTGCTGGGTGCTCTCTTTTTTGGGGGGAAAAAAGGTCTAAGGAAGGAGGATGTAGGGGCCACGTGCTGCAGGGAGTGAAGAGGGGGAGTGCGGAGGGCGCAGGGCACAGTCACTGTCACACCATCACCCCATCAAATGGGGCTTTTTCAGGCAATCAAACAGAAAGGGCTCCTTCCTCTGCTGCCTCATCCTGCAGAGCCAGGGCAGGAGGACAGGGGAACCAGGGTGGGTGGGCACAGCCCCTCGTCCCCTGCCTGCTGTGTCCTTCTTTACAAGGTCAATGTTTGTCACCCGAGGTGATGGAGGTGTTGAAGCTTTCATGATTTACTGCGGGGTGCCCAGCCCAGCCATATGCCAACGCATCCTCATCCCCGTGGCTAGCAAGATCTGTCCCTCCTTCTCCTCTCTCTCTTGTAATTTCATTTTCGGGGAGGGTCCAGGTGATCTGCAATGCTGCCCAAAGGGTGAGACCCCAGCCAGGACAAAGTGGCCCCTGGCTTCCATCAGAGCGAGAGGGCAGGGGGCTCACACCAATGTCCTGAGCTCTGCAGGGCTGTTCTGTGAGTGAGCCAACCCTCTGCAACAGCACAGATTTTCTCATTTCCCCTGAGCAAAGGCGATTCTCTCTGATGGCATTCACCATCACGTTCCCCTAACAGGGACCCTCACGGGATGATGAGCCCCTGGGACTTTCAGTTCCCGTGAAAGCGGGCGCCGCTTTTAGGACCACATCCCCCGCTGCGGCAGCTCATCTCTGGGGGGATGCGTTGGTGGCTCCGCGCCAGCCAGAGCACCCTAAAAATAACTGCTCTGCCTCCCAGGGATGATTCATGATGCAGCTGAAGGACTTCCCTCAGGCTACTTCGAATCGCTGGAGAAATTTGCTGCTGTTGGCTCATGAAGCTCTTGTTTCTGAAGAGCACAAGACGGCTTTGGGAAGCGACCCTGGCAGTGCCCGATTTTATGAGCTCTCTGCACCATGGATGCTTTTCTTAATCTGGTGAATGGGACATGGTGCAGGAGATGGGCACCCACCCTGCGGGTCCTTGGCTCCTGTTCGCTCCCATCTGCTGTTCCCTGGCAATAACCCTGCAGGGACCATCCCGCTCTCGGGGTGCCCGATGGATGCCATTGGGCTGTGGTGGCCATTCCTCTCATACCTGCCTCCTTTTTCGCTTGGTTTGATGCTCAGCTCCAGCTCTTGGACCCCTTAGTGCCTCCCTGGGGGCAAGGGACAGCCCTGTGCTGCGTGGGCTGGGTGCGTGTGCTCCCCAAAGCCCTCAGATACCCCCACTAGGTCTCAGGTGCACTTTTTCTGCCTCTTTTCCCTTGCACACACCCAGAGCAGCTGGGAGATGGTAAAAATAACCTCAATGCATCCTTGCAGCCGCTCCAGGCTCCCTCAGGGAGGAGGAGAGCAAGCAAACTACACGTGCTGCGCCTCGGTCACGTTGGGCGAAGGAAGCGTCTCGGTTTTGGGAGCTGGGTTAAGAGAAGCCAAGCTCAGCAAAAACGAGTTGGCCTCGAGAGGTCCATGTGAGAGGAGAGGTGGTGCAGATGGGGGCATGTCTGGCATGGATTTTGCATTCAGGCAAAGCAGTTGCATGCTCCTTTTTGTAAGTAAAATCTTGGGATACTTGGAGAGGGACAGGAAGAAATGCACCACCCCAAGAAGTCACCGCACTGGGAGTGGTGTGAGGCTCTGCCTAAACATGGATTTATCTCGTTTATTTATCATATTGTCTGTTTCTTATTTGTGAAAGCCTTTGAGGACAGGTTGGGGTATGGACATGGGTGTCTGTCCTATTCCTCTCCACACGCACAGGCTCCATGGGGATGGAGGCAGCTTCTGCTTCCTCCTCAGCCAGCCCATCCCGACTCTTGCAGCCCCCTGTTTGGGGCAGGAAGGGGGTTTTAGATCCACTGGAGGTATTTGGGTCTCAGTGCCATTGGTATGGCCCCACATGCCACACTGGATGGGAGGGAGCACTGGGCAATGGCTGCCTGGCACCTTGGGCATGTGGGAGTGGGCACTGCTGGAAAGGGACTGGAAACCACTTTGGGTGGCAGGGGGACCAGCCCAGGGCCAACTGCAACCACACTGGGACCACCCGCGGCCATAAAGGGACCGACTAAGGCAACCAGGGCCACACTGGAACCAACTGGGGCAACCAGGGAAAGCACCCAGAGCCACACTGGGATCTCTCCAGGCTGAACTGGAGCACAACGGGGTGCACTGGAGCCAACTGAGACCAGCCCTGCGCCATCCCACAGCCGACCCCTTCCCGCCCAGCGCCTTCGCGCCCGCGGCCCACACGGCCCCGCCCCGCCCC